TTCCTCTTCTCAAAGATGAAAATTCAGCTAAAGGGAAGGCGATTTGAGACGATAGAAGAGATTCAGGCAGAATCGCAGATGGTGCTTGACAGGCTGACAAAGAAAGATTTCCAGGGATGCTTCCAGGCTTGGCAGCGGCGCTGGGATCGTTGTGTTCACTCCCCGGGGAACTACTTCGAGGGTGATGGATGAATTTAATACCTGAGATAAGTGTACGGGTTTTTATAGGCGCAGTCTAGAAACTTTCCGATCGCACCTCGTATACCAACATTTATCAGTGACGACCTGAATGCTGTTATGTAAAACAGAAAACCGTACTAAACTAAGTAAAAATAAGTAAAGCAGCCCCGCTACACGCCATGTAGGTCGCTTGTGGGTGGAGAAGGTATAGCTCCTATTTATCTCTGACCTCGGTACTAGATGGGAGTGATTGGTCAGCATCACGCCCTGGTCGTGCTTTACCCCCGGGTAAGGATCCCGGTACCCTTTGGATAGGAGGCTGGGTCTAGACGCAGAGGCCAGAGGAAAAACCTCTGTCCAGTTGTCCAGCCAGTAGCTATTCACTATACTGACTGAGCTATCCCGGCTCAACCATACTAAACTACTCTTAAATAATAGTAGTAGTAGTAATAATAATAATAAGAATGGAAAAACAAAGATCTGGAGTACAGGTCGCCTAGGTACTCCAAGGGCTGAGGTTGGTTACGGCAACGAGGCGACTCAACGCAGGCCAACCATGGACACGCACAGCCAACAAGCCCAAGACTCACAAGAAAATCAACCAAGAAAAACAAGAGTGGCTTGGACAAGAGAAGAAATGAAGGAAGTAGTTTGGTGTCACATGTATTGTAAAATATTTTATAATACATGTGGCACTTGCTAAAAACAATATGGATCCCGGAAATAGCTGCTGCCCTATGTACCTTAGGGACAAGGTCTGTCTCGGGTACATGGAAGTACATACTCCATAAAGTGAATAGATGGGATATAATAATAATAATAATAATAATAACTAATCGCTTGCCCGGCTCGCAGCTCTGTACTTTCTCCTCACTGAAACTTTCGCCTCCAAACGTCCAAAAAACGAAACGTTATCATTAGCAGCCTAGAACGGTAATGTTCATATTGAAGAAGCCACTATTCAAAACAGTTCTTGTGTCATGGTCTCAGAATCATGGGTTAGTTGGCACTCAGCCTATCGTTTCGTATAAATAAATCGTAAAAGAGTGCTGTGCAATGCAACACGAAATAGACCCTCAAATGAGAAGGGAGGAGACACGAGACATTACTCTGTTTATGAGCTCACTGAAGCTTTGTCCACAAGAGCAAATAACTTCGGTTGTATCACACTTGATACTTTCTTCCTTATTACTAAGAAAATTGGAAAGATGTACTCCACTGGAGCAAACATTCAACTGACGATCGCCGCACAAATCGAATAAGCGTTTTACGTGCCCGTGCAATTTCCACGTTACAGACCATGCAAGACCCTAATTTTTGGCGCCCGGGATCAGAATGGTAGGGCGAATCAGTGAAAAACCCAGCAGGTCTGTGCGGCATCTTCTACCGTGGCCGCGGATAGGATAGTGATGCTCCACATGATACTGAAGAACATATTTTATTACTTACGTCACAGGCTAAGTAAAAAATGAAGAGGAGTTAACAGGCAAATTAAAATCACTGCGATTAAGAAGAACGTTATGCAACTGCTGTATCGTAAGGATTTAGTGAGAATTTCGTAAAAATAAGTTGTAAAGGTTACTGAGCAGTTACTCAGCACGGTATAATTGTAGTCACGTGTGCGTTGTAGTGATGCGAAACCACTTGTTAGGGAAGATTAAGTTAGGGCCCAAACACTAGAGGAACAGAAGCGATGCATCGCGATGACAGTGACAGGTGTAGTAATAACGTTGAATTAGAGAATTAACGTTTGAAAACTCCAGGTAATTGGGACATGGGAGGCGGAGGGAGACCTGGATATCGCGACGGAGAAACAAATGTAGACAGACATGGATACTGAGAAGGATCCACGATATAATGGACGAAGGCGTCCTTATCACCAGCAAACATCAGCATTGTCTCAAGTACGTGGTAACTGAACTGAAACTCAAACCATGCTCAGGTAGTAAGTTTATAATGATGTTGGATAGATCCTCAGGTTAGAAGCGCATAACTAGAAAATATGAGAGATATATGAAGTAGTAATGAGACAAACAACCATACAGTTTGTACATAATGTTATAAAATAAATCTTTTAATATATGAATATGTACAAATTAAAGCCATGTCGGGCTAATAAGATAGTTTCCTATGTCCGGCCCTATCTTCTGACATTAGATACATGCTACACCGGAGATAATTTAAATTTTAAGGATTCCTTGCTTGGGAATCCGTAGTTCGTAAAAAGTGTCTAACGAAGGCCGAACAACGGCGTGGCAGCGAAACGGTATTATAAATCGATCATGCCATTTAACATATGATGATCAGAAGTTAGATATAGGTGGTCAGGGTATTACAGTAACGAATATAAATACATGTAAACAATTATCAAGGTAGCAACAATTTAACAAAGAAACAGGTACACACAACGGTGAGTTTGTAAAACATGGCTGAATGAGATCTCACTGATAATTTAGTAACCGCCACCGAATTTCAAGCTTCAAGGTTACAGAAAAATCTCAATACAAACTTCGGAGTCCAGGCGATCTTAAAACAGCTCAGGACTCGCGTAGTAGCAACGGTACACTGATGGTTTAACTCCGCCCAGTAAGGGAGGGAATCCTTCAGTGGCCTTGAAACACGCCATTTTATGACGGATACAATACTGACTTTGTAAAACGTTATTAAGTACGCAGAAAGACATTTTAATCCAAAATGCAACGAGGCACAGACTGGAACTCACCGTAATAAAGGAAAAGATAACAGTGCTGAAATGTAACTTCGAATGTTCTGTTCTTTCATTAAGGGCAGTTCATGTTTCTGTAACAATGACATTTGTAGATCAGAGACGGGGTTGAAAGAAACTTCCATCAAAGTGGACGTCACTTGAGATTAAACAAATTTACGAAGCTGAAGTTATCCACCACTAGCGATGCATTGTACAAAACGAAGACATCCATGGAATGTTCCACGAATCGATCGATGAAGTTCGTGCACGAACGCAATAAGCGGGGGAAATAGAACCACTTCTCATATCTTTATTCTTCACCAGGGGTGATCAAATAAGCGATGGAGAAACATGTTACACTCAAGCACGAGTTCAGAAAAGCACACAGAATTTTAATGAGAAAACTTGGTCACGCGACTATGAAGTGGGACTCTTCTGTGAAGTTACTTTTACTTCTTTCCGAAAGAACACATTTTGAAACAAACTGTATCACGTTAGCTGAAGTGGCACTGAACGTGGACATCATATCGTGTTTCAAGGTACCCGGTTTGAAATTCGGCTGGGCATGGGTCGTTGTGACAGACGAATTTCGTTGTTTTATTAAGTCACTTATGGTTATTATTTTATCTCGTTCTGCGTTTCATAACAATGACAGCTGATATAGAATAATTAAACACATGAATTTAGGGTAATCTTTAGTTTACTTTATAAAACACAACTTTTCCGGAATTTTAACTCTATCTTTACCATTGCTACGCAGTTCACCGTTGTCAATTACTGGCGTTATAACGAGTATATAAATTAATCAGTCAGTAAATTACGTGAAATCTACGTGTGCGGGTTTAGACCTATTGGTCACTGTCACTGTTTAAATCCCATTTATTGTATGGTATTAGCTTTTTCTTTTGCAGGCAGAGGCCTTACAATGTCTCACCCAAAAAGTTCCACTAAACGTTTGAAACATTCATTGCTTGAAAATTAAATATAAACTGTAGAAGTTAGATGGCGTAATCCGTGGAAGCCGAAGAAAAAGGACAAGTCCAATAGTATTAGATTATAGGGGTAAAATTCGATCTAAGATTCTTTCATATATGTATGTAGCCGTCACAGTGGTGTATAAATTCCGAGAAGAAATCCATTAAATGAGATCAGAAATCGAAGAATAAAGGACATGTGACGGGAACATGTGAAGGATCTAATGGTTTTAATCTGTCAAAACACAAATGCCACCTCAGTAGACGTCACCTTATGTAATTTTTCTTTGAATTTGAGCTTTGTTTTTAGGTATTGTCTTGCACACTGTCACATATTCCCAGAAAATTTTGTAACAGATAAATATGACAAATTCTTAAAATTAATTTGAGGAGTATTTTTTGTTATAACTTGTCGTACTTGACACCGAAATGAAAT